GCGGCTCACGCTACCGCGGGCCAACCCGCGGCAAGGGGAACAACAACAACACCCGTGGCGACCTGGTGATCGCGGCGACCGCGGCGACTCTCGCGGCAATGGTGGCCGGCCCTCCTACACCAACAACAGGGGCGGCCGTCGTAACTCCTCCAACAAGCGTCCCGACGCCACACGTTGCCAGATCTATGGTAAACCTGGCCATACAGCGAAAGACTGCTGGTACAAGTATGATGATGACGGTGACTCATCCTCAGATGAGAAGGTGGCCGGGGCTGCTGATGGCTCATATGGAGTGGACACAAATTGGTATGTGGACAACGGTGCAACCAACCACATCACCGGTGAACTCGAGAAGGTGACCATGCGTGAGAAGTACCGCGGCAAGGACCACATCCACACTGCCAGTGGAGAAGGTATGAAGATTCGTCACGTTGGTCACACAATCATTAATACCCCTCATAGGAAAATTCACCTTCGGAAAATTTTGCATGTCCCTAGTGCTAACAAAAATCTTCTCTCCGTTCATCGTATTGCTATCGATAATCATGTCTTCCTTGAGTTTCACCCCTTTTATTTTTTGATCAAGGATCAGGCAACGAAGAAAGTGCTCTATCAAGGTAGATGCGTTCGTGGGCTCTACCCTTTGATTCCGGAGATTAGAAGATTCAATAAACAAGTTTTTAGTGCCACCAAGCTATCTTCAACATGGTGGCACGATCGATTAGGGCATGCAGCTTTTCCTTTAGTTGAACGTTTTCTTAGGAAGAATAAACTCTCATATGTTGGAGAGCGTAATGTCGAAACAATTTGTGATTCATGTCAGAAAGCTAAAAGTCATCAGTTACCGTATCCAATTTCTACTAGTATTTCTACCAAACCACTACAACTCATTTTCTCTGATGTTTGGGGACCTGACCCTACTTCTGTTGGTAGACATACATATTACGTGAGTTTCATCGATGATTTTAGCAAATTCTCTTGGATCTATCTTCTCAAGAAAAGATCCAACGTGTTTCAAGTTTTTCTTAACTTCCAAGCTCTCGTTGAACGAAAATTTGACACCAAAATCATCGCCCTCCAATCTGATTGGGGAGGCGAATATGAGAAGCTAAACTCATTTTTCCAAAACCTTGGCATATCTCATCATGTGTCGTGTCCACATGCCCATCAACAGAATGGGTCAGCTGAATGCAAACACAGGCACATCGTAGAAGTTGGCCTCGCTCTTCTGGCAAGAGCATCCATGCCGCTTAAGTTTTGGGACGAAGCGTTCCTTACGGCAGTTCACCTCATAAACATGTTGCCTAGTCGTGTCATTAATAATGACACCCCCACTGAAAGACTCCTCCATGTCAAGCCAGACTACAATTCTCTCCGCGTGTTTGGCTGCGCTTGTTGGCCCAATCTTAGACCATACAACAACCGCAAGCTCATGTATCGATCTAAACAATGTGTTTTCATCGGATACAGTGCACAACACAAAGGAGTCAAGTGCCTCGATGTCTCCACCGGCCGTGTCTACATCTCACGCGATGTCGTGTTTGATGAAACCAAATTTCCTTTTGTTGATCTTCATCCCAATGCCGGTGCACTCCTTAAGAAAGAAATTCTTCTCCTTCCATCGCATCTCTCCGGTCTTGATCATGGGGGGGGGGGAATAATTGTGATGATCATACGTTGACTAATCCTCATAACCCTGTGCATGAGTCCTATGATGATGCAGATACAGCAGCAGACGAAGAAAACAGTGAAGAAATCATCAAAAATGATGCAGAAATCAATTCAAACAGACGACATTTTATGTGTCAAACCCTGGGGGACATATCCTCCTCGGGATCGGCGCAGCAGCAGTTTGGCAGCGGATCCGCCCCGGGATCCGTGCGGCAGCAGGGCGGCGGCAACCCAGAAAGCGCGTCGCCCGCACGCGCACCTACCAGGGGCCGCAGCGACGACTCCGCAGCCGCCACGTGGTCGCCACCGACTGGCCCAAACGCTCCGCCAGGTCCGCGCCAACCTGGCTCCCCCACGCGGCAGGCCGGGGGTCACTGGCCCGCGAGCGGGCCCCGCTGTTACGCTCGTCGCCAGCAAATCAGCACGAGACTCGGCGCTGATTCGGCTAGGGGCCCAGGCGCGCAATCCAAGGCCGATTCTGTCGCGGCCACAGGAGCTGGTGCGGGATCCTCTGTGCCTCCAGCGCCCGCTCCGTCGTCTACAGCAGCCGCAAAAAATCCCACCAAAACCGATGCGGCTGCAACACCAAGAGAATCCGCCTCGGGATCGGCTGATACAGATTCGCCTGGATCTTCTGTGCCCGTTTCCTCTCCACGCCTTCCACGCATGCGTCTACAAAAGGGAGTGCTTCAACCTATAAATTATAAAACCAAGTTTGGTCTTGCATGCTACACAGGTGAACCACGCACCCTGGATGAGGCCCTGGGAGATGCACGGTGGAGGAAAGCTATGGAAGAAGAACATGTGGCACTTCAGAGGAACAAAACGTGGCATTTGGTTCCTCCACCACAAGGTAAAAATTTGATTGACTGCAAGTGGGTCTACAGAATTAAAAGGAAGTCTGATGGAACCATTGATCGGTATAAGGCCAGACTTGTGGCTAAGGGTTACAAACAACGATATGGCATCGACTATGAAGATACCTTTAGCCCTGTTGTCAAGGCTGCTACTATTCATCTTGTGTTATCTATTGTTGTTTCCAGGGGCTGGAGTCTCAGACAGCTAGATGTACAGAACGCGTTCCTTCATGGTGTTCTGGAAGAGGAAGTATACATGAAACAACCTTCCAAGTTCGTCGATAAAAACTCACCCTTTCATGTTGGTAAAGTTGATAAAGCTCTTTATGGACTGAAGCAGGCACCCCGAGCATGGTACTCACGTCTCAGTCAAAAGTTACAAGCACTTGGATTTGTTCCATCAATATCAGATACCTCACTATTTATTTATAGAAAGGCAAATACATCTATATTTGTGCTTATCTATGTTGATGATATTATTGTCACTAGTTCATCTGATGAGGCAGTGGCGGGATTGTTGAAGGATCTGAGTGCTGAGTTTGCTCTCAAGGATTTGGGTGACTTGCACTTGTTCCTAGGAATTGAAGTAAGAAAACTTGAGGATGGTCTTCATCTCTCCCAAGAAAAATATGCTAATGATTTGGTAAGAAGGGTTGGTTTGCAAGGGTGTAAGCCTGTTCCAACTCCCTTGTCTAGCACAGAAAAATTGTCTCTTACAGAAGGAAATCCTTTGAATCAAGAGGACAGTACCAGGTATAGAAGTTTAGTAGGAGCACTTCAATGCCTTACTCTGACACGACCTGATATTTCCTTTGCTGTTAACAAAGTATGTCAGTTTCTTCATGCACCTACCACAGTTCATTGGACTGCTGCAAAGCGTATTGTGAGATATGTAAAGCATACTATGAATCTTGGTCTCACATTCAGCAAGTCCTCATCTACACTTGTCAGTGCTTTTTCTGACTCAGACTGGGCAGGCTGTCTAGATGACAGACGCTCTACTGGTGGGTTTGCAGTATTTTTTGGACCCAACCTTATATCATGGTGTGCAAGGAAACAGGCAACTGTATCAAGGTCGAGTACAGAGGCTGAATATAAGGCACTAGCAAATGCCACAGCAGAGATCATTTGGGTTCAGTCCATGTTAAGAGAACTTGGTATAAAACACATTCAGGCTCCTTGTTTATGGTGTGACAATCTTGGTGCCACCTATTTGTCTGCTAATCCGGTCTTTCATGCAAGGACAAAACACATTGAGATAGATTTTCATTTTGTAAAAAAACGTGTTGCTAATAAACAATTGGAAATTTGTTTTGTGCATTCAAAGGACCAGGTTGCAGATGGCTTCACCAAGGCTTTACCCACAAGAAATCTTGAAGAATTCAAGCGTAATCGCAACTTGCGAAGTTGTGATTAAGGGAGGGTGTTAGACAACGTGACAGCCCTCATCGTATGCGCCAAGGGATTAACAACCGAAGCTTCTAGCGTAGGATAGACTAGAAATCTGTTATGGTTTATTTTCCTGTTAAACTAGATATCTATCTCTTAGTCTATCTCTTGTTCTCCAAGTTTGTAATCCCAACAACTTGTACACTATCAGGGAGGTTGCGACCCTGCATATAAACACGAAGCCGTCGGCCCTGGCAAAGGCACGACGTTCCAGCCTTTCTCACACATATCAGTCCTTTCTTCTGTCTGCATCAGGTTACTGCCAATTATGACGATACCCAGGAGAAAAACTACTCAAAGAGGGATTTATTTCATCTTTTCGCTTACATTTGAGGATTTTTACAGCAATGCCTTTAGAGCATATATAAATATCCCTGCCGCTGTTTTTCTTGTTCATTGGCCAAATGCTCAAATATGTGTACATGTATCGTTTTTCATACTTTGACCACCTTAGCTCAAACATGTGGACCCCGCCAGTCATAAAAGGCCGTCAGAACACGGCAGCAATCAGACCATGCCCCTAAATCAGTCGGGTTTTTTTTTAAAATCCACAATAGCACTGGCTGTGTGATGTTTTTTTAGGGTGGCTATGTGTTGTATTTGCCACAAAAATCTTTTTTTTATGTACTCATCGTATCCCCTCGATTGGTTCCATAAGCTTTTTCGAAAAGATATGATCACTAGTTGACTCCCTCTTCATTCCCTTTTGGGGCAGCTAGTCAATTCCTAACATGTTACGTTATGTACAAAATACTTATTTTATTTTGATGCAAGTGATAGCAAAAGTATATACTGCATTTGCATGAACAGAAAATGCACTTGTTTAGGACTAGATCAGTGGATTGACTCTGAAAACTCAAGGACTAGATCTACTTCGGTCCAACCACGAACCAAATCGCGCAATTTTATTTGTCTTTACAAGAAACATATACAGAACAAGAGTTCTACTAGTACCTACCTACTTACAAGCTGATGTCTCTGATGGTGTGTGCCTGCCCCCATCCCCATGGTGGTCGTATTCAGTTACCAAGCTCTGCCGCTGCCAGCCTCCATGTTATCCAACGCTCGGCCATTGGTTCTCATCTCCATGGAGGTAACATATTGTACCACGGACAGATCATGCGGCAGCACCGACTGATGGGCATCTGTTGTTCCTTGGTTCTCAGTTTCCGGGTTAGGATTGTGATGTTGGAATGCATGAGGCCACAGCCCTGAAACAGAACAGGTACCATTTCACTTCAGTTATACTATACTCCCTCCGTTCCTAAACATAAGTGGAGGAAAATGAGTGAATCTACACTATAAAGTACTATATCCATATGCATCCGTATGTAGTCTATATTGAAATCTCTAAAAAGACTTATATTTAGAAACGGAGGGAGTAGTTGCGAAAAAGGACTTCATTTCTGTACAATCTGACAATGGCGGAACAAAGAGCAGTGGCATTATGTACGCACTAACAATCCAGAATGAATGTACTCGTGTGGATGTGGTGGTTGTTTTATATATAAAGCGAGGAGAAAACCTATTTCGTTAATCCAGAGTAAATTATAAATGTACCGTGTTTGCTAGCCGGATGCGGGAAGAACTGCAGATAGCAGAACGAAGCAACAACCAGCCCTGCAGAGATACACCCACATGATCAGCAGCCTGTCAGTGCGATTTTCAAGAGATGGAGACACTACTGAACTTATAACGGCTCTACTGATGGAGCTGGAACGTACCAAGGATTCCACCGGCAAACACGTCCTGCCAGTGGTGCCAGTAGTCTGCGACCCGCGACACGCCGACCATGGCAGCGAAGAGCAGCGGCAGGATCACGATGCAGAGCTTGGCAATGTGTCCGCCCCGGTCAAACACCCTGATCTTGCCGGCAAGGTACCACGACAGGAAGCCCAGCCCGGCAAAGGACCCTGCATTCCATACCAGATGAACACGAGAAAGCTATCAGACTGAACTGTTTTTTTCTTTCCCAAGGGGGAAGTGACCTAGAAAGATAACCAGTTCATGCTACAGTGCAACTCAAATAAGTTCAGATGGTCTTCAGAATTGCAGATGGTGGTCAAGCTTACATGAAGTGTGGCCACTGGGGAAGCTCTTGTGCCCTTCTTTGATGACTTTTGCGTCTCCGTGGCATATGACTTGTCGAGTGACCGCCTCGTAGTTCTGAAATGGCAACTGGATTCAGCATGGCGAATGTTGAAGAAATGGAAAGCTCCGAAGAAGCAATTGCGGAAGAGAGCTCACCGGCACCCCGTCAGGAAAGCATCGATAGTAGAAGTTGGGGCGAGGCCGGCCGACGCCGTCCTTGATCGCGTCGGTGAGGACGCCGGTGATGAGCACGGAGAACAGCAGGCCTGCAAATTTCCCCACACATCTTTCAGAACTGATGACAAGAGCAGTGTTCTGAATAAACTGACGCAGTTGCTGCTGCTGCACAACAATTAATAGCTGCCGCGCAGGGATAACCTGCCTAGTATGGCGTGGTGCAGGTCGTAGGCATTCTTCTTCTTGACATAGATGGCGGCGAAGATGAGCATCGGCAGGATGACGGCGTATATCTGCAACCATCCACCGGAGCCGACGACGAGCAAGGTTCGTCAGCGGAGGAAAAAGAACAAATTTTGCAGAGATAAGGAAGATATGGTAGGTGGGGGTGGATGGGGGTACCTACCGGGACGGCCCAGACGGGGATGGTGTTGGGCTTCATGGGGTACCGGAGGTCGTCCATCATGAACTCGGCGACGAAGCGGTGGAAGGGCGTGATGAGATTGAGCACGACCTCGATGGCGGCGAGGAGGAGCAGCACGATCCAGTCGTACATGTGCCGCCGCGCCATCTTGGCCCCGTGGGTCCTGAGGTACGGGGGCGGCACCCCCAGCTGGATGGCCGCCGCCGCCGCCGGTCCCGGTGGCGGCATCTTGGTCTCCGGCGCGGGTAGGAGGGGCGATTCGATGGATTCGCCGGGCGGATCCCCTGGCGAGCCTGCGGGTTCCATGCGGCGGGGTTAGAGGGGAGGGGAGGGGAATTCGTGGACAGGGCATGTGCGGAGAGGAGACAGACGGAGACCGCAAGTGCGTAGATGACAGGTGCAGTGACGACAGGTACTCACGGGAGGGCGAACGAAGAGCGGAGATTCCTCCTGCCGGAGCCGGCGGTCCGGAGTCAACGGCGGCGTCAGGGATGAGCAGAGCACCACCACCACCGCCTCCTCCTCCTTCCCTGCAGGGACAGCGGCCGCGAGCTTGACGGCGGCGAGCCGCGCGGTCTCTGTTTCTTGCTTGCCTCGGCGCCTCTGTTTCTTGGATTCTTTGCGTTTCTCCGCCCTCTGGGGCTCCGGTCCGGTGCGGCGGCTTGCCTCCGATGTTGAACGCCCGCCGCCGGCGAATTGATGGATGATGCTTCCTCGCGTGTCGTGCGTGTGCTTTTCTCGCCTGAGAACGGGTGGCCAACTGGGAGCGGCTGGCACGGGGGAGGTGTGCTAGGCGAGGCTAGGCTAGGGCGGCTGGCCCATCCATGGAGACTGAACTGGTTCAGGTTGTTGGAATCGAGCGCGTCGTGGGCTGACTTGCCGCTGCTCGTGAGCTGTGACGACGACGATTTCCGTGGTGGTTCGCCGGCCAGGCGCGACCCGTCAACGTAAAGCAAACAATATCTTCTGCGGGAGATAAAAATGCTTTCGTTATCTGGGATTTATTATGCGTCGACAGACACTTCATCTTCAAGGCCAAGTCAGCTTCAGAAACTTCGCCGGTGAGCAATCAAGTAGAGGGTCGACACGCCGTCGAGAGGAAACAACATTCATACGTGCGAAACGGTTAACCCACTGCGTTTTGACATGTTTATATATTATACTACGCACTTGCTTTTCAACACGCTAGTTGTTTCTGAGGAGTATATTCATATGAACGAGGGACCGAATTTTTGGAACATGGTGGCAGGAGATGCCGTAATCTCGCGCATCCACATGCACATCGTGATTCCTACTTAATATAGCCCATTATGCAATACGGGGTGGTCAATTGGTAGGCCAGCGTAAATACGCAATATTACCTCGCACACGTGGGTTAGGTCTCATTTAATTTTCGTATGAATATTGGCTCGTCTGGTAGCAATGTCCCTTGCATGTTGGGTTCCTTCATAACTGCTCTGGACGTGCGGCAGCCATCATAAGTACCGCCCTTGCTCGTGGTGTGCACTGTAGCTCATTTTCGATTTGCATCCTGTGGAGAGCAGAAGAACAGGGGAAATAACTTCGGTAGAAACAGAAAGGAATACACAGGTTAGCATATGGACACTGGACTTGATCCTGCGTTTTACTTGGGTATAAGCACAAACGTGCTGACGTGTATCCAACATGTTCGTTCCCTTGCATTGCAGACTTTTCTTATGGCAAATGTTATTAGGTGGCCAAGTCTATATATGTATTAATGTGTCACCCATCAATTGGCAGATGCATCAATGGAATAATGCTACTCCCTTCATCATAGTTTAAAGGGCATACCTCACATTTCTCTGGCCCCAAGGTCGCTAGCGATTGGCAGGAATAAATGATGTGCTGGAGCTGCGGTAGTTAAGGATATGTGCCTAATTAATCGCCAAATAAACGCATAGTAACCTCCCCGTCCAATAAAAGGCCTCGCACAGCCATGCATGCAAACAAAACCGATTCACACCTCCACCTAAAGTTTCAGTTCACACCATGCATGTGCACCAGGAAGGCAAGCGGAAGGAGTAATTTCAGCGGGCTAATTAATGACCTGCGCCCTATTTCCCTCTAATTGTGAAAAAATTTGGTTTTGGAGATACGCCCTTTAAACTGTGATGGAGGGAGTAGTACAACAAGCTTTATTCATAGCATCTATTTCATGACAAACTGGATGGTTTAGTGTATGGTAATACTCATATGCTAACTAGCCCAAGATATTGCATGGCTAATAACTGGCACACTGATTAAACACGCTTGTATGATGGTTAGTCCTAATTTACTGATTAACATATTACTAATACATCAACTAAGCACATGAATTTAGCTGCAACCATGACAAAATTTCTCCCATATATTCAGGTAATTAAATGCATCTCGTAGATATTTTCATATTGTACAGTTCAATTAGAAATCTGTGGAGTTGGTTTTGATGTCTCTAATTTGTTCAAAAATGGGAACCGTAAGTTTTGGTTAACATGTATACTTGTGAAGCTGAGATCAAAATCAAAGCCGTAAAAAAAACCGGTCTCTCTTATTGGTGATGTCTCAAGTATCCTATAAGTTATGTAAAAGTATTTTGACTTTTTCAGTAGAATTTTGCCTGATCTTTTTGTTGGGGAACGTTGCAGAAAACAAAAAAATTTCCTACGGTTTCACCAAGATCCATCTATGAGTTCATCTAGCAACGAGTGATCGGATGCATCTACATACCTTTGTAGATCGCGAGCGGAAGCGTTCAAAGAACGGGGATGAGGAAGGCGTACTCGACGTAATCCAAATCACCGGAGATCCTAGCGCCGAACGGACGGCACCTCCGCGTTCAACACACGTACGGTCAGCGTAACGTCTCCTTCTTCTTGATCCAGCAAGGGGGAAGGAGAGGTTGAGGAAGATGGCTCCAGCAGCAGCACGACGGCGTGGTGATGGTGGAGCTGCAGTACTCCGTCAGGGCTTTGCCAAGCACTATGGAGGAGGAGGGGGTGTTGGAGAGGAAGAGGGAGGCACCAAAGGCAAAGGTAAGAGGTCCTCCCTCCCCCCACTATATATAGGGGGCCTAGGGGGGCGGCCCTAGGAGATCCAATCTCCTAGGGGGGCGGCGGCCAAGGGAGGAATCCCTCCTCCCCAAGGCACCTAGGAGGTGCCTTCCCCTTTTGGGACTCTTCCCTTCTTGAACCCTAGGCGCATGGGCCTCTTGGGGCTGGTGCCCTTGGCCCATGTAGGCCAAGGCCCACCCCCTACAGCCCATGTGGCCCCCGGGGCAGGTGGCCCCACCCGGTGGACCCCCCGGGTGTTGGGGAACGTAGCAGAAATTCAAAATTTTCCTACGTATCACCAAGATCTATCTATGGAGAAACCAGCAACGAGGGAAAGGAGAGTGCATCTACATACCTTTGTAGATCGCTAAGCGGAAGCGTTCAAGAGAACGGGGTTGAAGGATTCGTACTCGTCGTGATCCAAATCACCGGAGATCCTAGTGCCGAACGGACGGCACCTCCGCGTTCAACACACGTACAGCCCGACGATGTCTCCCACGCCTTGATCCAGCAAGGAGAGAGGGAGAGGTTGAGGAAGACTCCATCCAGCAGCAGCACAACGGCGTGGTGGTGGTGGAGGAGCGTGGTACTCCAGCAGGGCTTCGCCAAGCACCGCGAGATATGAGGAGAAAGAGAGGGAGGGCTGCACCAACGAGAGAGATCTAATCGCGTGTGATGGGCAGCCCCTAGGTCTCACTATATATAGGGGAGAGGCAGGAGGGTGCGCCCCCTCTAGGGTTCCCACCCGTAGGGGGGGCGGCAGCCCTAGATGGGAAAGGGGAGGCGGCCAAGAGGGGAGGGGGAGAGGGAGGCGCACCAGGACGGGCCCTAAGGCCCATACCCCTTTAGGGTTTGCCCCCTTTCCACCTCTTAGGCGCCTTGGGCCCTTGTGGGGGGGCGCACCAGCCCACCTAGGGCTGGTCCCCTCCCACACTTAGCCCACGCAAGCCTCCGGGGTTGGTGGCCCCACTTGGTGGACCCCCGGGACCCTCCTGGTGGTCCCGGTACATTACCGATAAACCCCGAAACCTTTCCGCTGACCAAAACAGGACTTCCCATATATAAATCTTTACCTCCGGACCATTCCGGAACTCCTCGTGACGTCCGGGATCTCATCCGGGACTCCGAACAACATTCGGTAACCACATACAAACTTCCTTTATAACCCTAGCGTCATCGAACCTTAAGTGTGTAGACCCTACGGGTTCGGGAGACATGCAGACATGACCGAGACGTTCTCCGGTCAATAACCAACAGCGGGATCTGGATACCCATGTTGGCTCCCACATGTTCCACGATGATCTCATCGGATGAACCACGATGTCGAGGACTTAATCAATCCCGTATACAATTCCCTTTGTCTATCGGTACGATACTTGCCCGAGATTCGATCGTCGGTATCCCGATACCTTGTTCAATCTCGTTACCGGCAAGTCTCTTTACTCGTTCCGTAACACATCATCCCGTGATCAACTCCTTGATCACATTGTGCACATTATGATGATGTCCTACCGAGTGGGCCCAGAGATACCTCTCCGTCACACGGAGTGACAAATCCCAGTCTCGATTCGTGCCAACCCAACAGACACTTTCGGAGATACCCGTAGTGTACCTTTATAGCCACCCAGTTACGTTGTGACGTCTGGCACACCCAAAGCACTCCTACGGTATCCGGGAGTTGCACAATCTCATGGTCTAAGGAAATGATACTTGACATTAGAAAAGCTTTAGCATACGAACTACACGATCTAGTGCTATGCTTAGGATTGGGTCTTGTCCATCACATCATTCTCCTAATGATGTGATCCTGTTATCAACGACATCCAATGTCCATGGTCAGGAAACCGTAACCATCTATTGATCAATGAGCTAGTCAACTAGAGGCTTACTAGGGACATGGTGTTGTCTATGTATCCACACATGTATCTGAGTTTCCTATCAATACAATTCTAGCATGGATAATAAACGATTATCATGAACAAGGAAATATAATAATAATCAATTTATTATTGCATCTAGGGCATATTTCCAACAGTCTCCCACTTGCACTAGAGTCAATAATCTAGTTCACATCGATATGTGATTAACACTCAAGGTCACATCCCCATGTGACTAACACCCAAAGAGTTTACTAGAGTCAATAATCTAGTTCACATTTACCATGTGATTAACACTCGATGAGTTCTGGGTTTGATCATGTTATGCTTGTGATAGAGGTTATAGTCAACGGGTCTGAACCTTTCAGATCCGTGTGTG